ACATGTGAAATCAATGTGAACAATAAAATTGATAAGTCTTAGAAAGCAAACGTTTGGTTCTTGTCGTAAGCCGTATAAAGCTTTCTTGAGACAACATACATAATTAGGGATACGAGAGTTAATGAAACTTGGGGATTGTTCCATAAAAACGGTTTCAGTAAGATCGACATCTAGGAAGGAATTTTTAACATCTAACTATTGTAAATTCCATTGATGGATAATAGCTAATACCAAAACGATTCGAACAATGGAAGCCTTGACTACCAGACTAAAAGTGAGGGAATAATCTAATCCCAAAACCTGAGTAAATCCTTGAGCAACAAACCAAGCCTTGTAACGATCAACTGACCCATCAGATTTATATATTTTTTTTCCTATAGACCCATTTAGATCCCAGGACATTTGAATTATTAGGTCGAGGAACAAGATCCCATGTATGATTCTTATGCAAGGCATCCATTCCTCACGCATTGCAGTCATCCACTTCAAATGTTTAGTAGTTGTTTTAAACCCCTTAGGATCTTTTTAAGCAAATAATGTGTGGTATAAAGGACCGAAAGTAAGTATTTCAATATCAACAATGTATCGTGGTTTGTGTACCACCGACACATGATCAAGTTATCATTGGATGCAAGAAATAAGTTACAACGGATTTGGATAAAGGACGTAAACCGATAACAGACCCAAGTTGGTAGGTGATAGATTTTGTCAGGTTAGGACCCTGAGTAAAAACATGGGATGGTTGGGTTTAAGGTAAGGTAGTGGAAGCAGGTTGTGGTTGTGGCTCATTTTGGCAAGGATGATGGGTATATATGTAGCAGAAGGGTGTGGTAGGGGAGTTATTTTGTGATGAATTGGTGGGTGGTAGATTAGGTTTGGTAGAAGGTTAGAAACAAAGTGTGGATGGATTGAATTTTTGATGTTTATAGGTTGGTGAAGTGGGATGAGCTACAACTTATAGTGGTCAAGAGTTTTTAAATGAATTTTGAAAAATAATCAAAAAGTTGGAGAATAAAAGTTTAGTGTCATCAACCGGAGGGATAATACCACTAAAAGGAAAAACCTCCTCATCAAATTGTGCATGACATGTAACATAAACCCGATTTGGAGATGGATCAAGGCAACGATATCATTTATATTTTAGAATATATACAATAAAGATACTTGAGGCACTTCTAGAGGAAAGCTTGTGGTGGGTATAAACATGAAGATAAGGGAATACATGACAACCAAAATTTCAGAAAAAAATATGAAGGTGGTTGATTGAATAAATGCTCATATGGAGACTTTTTTAAGAGCAATAGTGTTGGTAGACGATTGATGTGTGGCTGATATAAATGCATCAGCCCATCAGAAAGTAGGTTCATGTGCATTAAAAAGCATTGCAAGCCCGGTTTCAGTCGCAGAACGATCTTGTGCTCGATCTAACCATTTCGTTGAGTCATATGCAGATAAGAAAGGTGATGATTGATCACATTGTTGAGTAATACCTTTTGAACAAGATTATTAGTAACTTCTTTTCCACAATTACTTTGTAAACATTTAACCTTTCAAGAAAAATATGTGCGCACAAAGGTTAAGAAAGCGACCAATACATTGTAGAATATGATTTGGCCTTAAGAGGATAACACCAACTAAATATTGAATGCCACATAATATAAGTAATCATCAGTTGAGATAATAGGAGTCGGTCCCCGTAAATCACAATGAATCATATCCAACACATGTGAATAACGTTTGCGATTTTTCGTAAAAGGTAATTTATGAGTTTTGGACAAATGACAAGATGAACAAATACTTGGTTTCAGTAACAAAGAAGTAATAGTAGATGTACATGCTTATTTAACAAAGAAATAATATCAAATGAAACATGACCAAAATGATCGTGGCATTGTTCATATGAAGCTCAAAGATGGTGTGAATTGACAACCGCTATAAATGCCTTTTGTCATTGTTCAAGAATGTAAAACCCATTCTTGTATTTACCCCTTACTAATGCCTCTCGAGTTTGACAATCCTAGATTTAAAAGAAAGTATTATAACATAATATGTCAACGGGGAAATTAGATGTGAGTTTACTTTCAGAGGGAACATTTTTGGTGGGATGGGGAACCACCAAAACATCTAGAAGAGGCAGCCTATTATTAATAGAAGCTTTTCCAGTATGTGAAATTGGTAAAGAGTTACCATTTCCAAATGTAACTTGATAAGGAACTAAGTATGGTATGGAGGTTGAAAGACCATATGGAATAGACGTCATATGAGTAGTTGCCCTAGAGTCAATATAACCGAGTTTTTAGACATATGACATTTACAGTAAAAATGTGTGTGCCAAGTTAGCATCTAAAATAGGTCCACATTAGGCAAAAGAAGATAAATTTGGACATGAATATGCATAATGACCTTATTTCAGGCATAATTGGAAATGGGGTGGTCGACGAATACGACCACCACCAGACGAAGTAGAATCACCACGTGATTTTCCATGAGAATTAGATGAAGAGCCTGTAAAAGAGCAGTGACTATCAGCAAGAAAAGCAGGTTGTGGGGCTAGCGAATTGTGAATAGACTACGAAAACAGGTCATGCCTTTCTACCTATGCTAAAAGATCCTAAAATATAGACCGAGGTTGGACAACCCTTGTAACAATGGCGAAGGTCTAAAAAATTGAACCCATACCGCAAAGAAACCAATGGCATGTCATCACTAAACGGATGTTCGATAGCAGCAAGTTGATCACAAATAACTTTAATCTTACGACCATATCATGACATAGAGGTTGTGTCATTTTGAGGCTAACGAAGAGAGTCAAGTCGTGTATACATACGTTCCATATAAGATTGTTGATAGGTAGATTGAAGCGTGCACCATACCTATCGAGCAATTGAGAGACTCAGAGCCTTAGTCATTGATTCTTCCGTTAGGGAATCCTGAAGGAGAAAAAGAAAACGTTGATCTGCATCCATCCAAGCCAAAAAAAAACTAAGGTTCAGAGATGAATTTTCACTGACAGTGGTAGTCTCAGGCAGTGACAGAATAGTAAGATCGAGATGGCCTAGGAGATGCTGATAAGAAAAAAAGGGTGTCATCTGGTTCTTATATAGAAGGTAATTATCGGAAGAAAGTTTAATGTTAATCATGTGTAAAAACGTATGAGGGGAGGGTAGGTCCATTTGAAACAAAGAAGAAGAAGAAGAAGAAGAAGAAGAAGAAGAAGAAGAAGAACCGGTCATGGCGACAAGGAGACCACAAAATATATTTAGGGAGGGGAAGGTCCGAATAGTTATGCTGTACCACGTCAACTATTGGAAATCTCAATGATTTTGAAATTCAATACATACAATGGTTTAAATACACAAATAATCTCCTAATAATATGGATATATGAAAAGGAAATATTGAGAGAATTACAACAGAGATATATTTTTCATAAAAGAAAATTATTTCCTAATAAAACTAATGGCTCTAAATGACTGCTTGTTCAAACGATTGTTTATGTTTTTTTAACAAACTGTTCAACAATTGAACTTCATGTTCAACAAAATATTTATGAACCATTTGTCAATAAGTTTGTTTATGCTCGTTTATTTAATAAATGAATGAACTGATGGGTTTTCTAGGTTATAATATAAAGATTTGCACAACAGAATTGACATAAAACAATTTATGGGTACGTGCAACCTAGAGATTTATGGATTTTCTCATTCTAGGAACGTACTTATAAAACAATGAACTAATATATGTATAATAAAACTTTACAAGAATTAGAACACATATCTTTGTTGCAATCAAATACAACAAACTAGATCTTCAATTTTTCCTTTGGAAAGCTAGCACCAATAATGTGGATGTCTCTAGTGACTCACACCCAAAACCCTAGGAACAAAATATAGGAGAGAGGAGGGAGGAAGAGATTTCAATTTCTTGCTCTTAAAGACTATGGTTCAAAGTGGCTAACCAATGTCCTTATTTATAGTTGGTGGAAACCCTAATTTGAATAATAAAATAATAATATTTTAAACTTATTCAGATCAGTTTCCTTATCAGCTATAAGAGGCTTACAGAACCCTTCTGGATCCACCCTAAAACCGTCTTCCCTATAAGAGAGTTCTAGAATGCCTTCCTTGTTTAATAATTATAGAATTGCAATTCACTTATTTCACCTTTAATTAATTATAATTAATCTAAAATTAATTTCCAGTTAATTCTGACTAATTCTAAATTAATTCTTAACCATTTCTAATTAATTTATTAACCAAATAATAAATTAACAAATTATTTCCTCACTCTTCTAAAATTGTTTCTATCTATTTCTACTTCTTGAGGGCAACCCAAATACTTTGCTTTTATTTTATAAGGTTATACCAATTTAGTTATGATTTCAGACACCTAATCTAACATGAACATTTTTCTCTTACTAACTAAACGCTCTCATTTAGGGAATAAACTTTTTTCTCAAACTACCACCAAAGAAATAAATGGATATATTATATTTCTTGATAATGGTATGATAACAAGGGAAAGCAGGCATACATAAAGACCATTATTTGTAAAGCATGAGAAGATAAATTGACAATCCTATGTCCATGAGCATATAACAAGTGGTGGAAAAAATGTGTTATAGATTTAGGAGTAGGATTAGTGGATCGTAGAGTTTTATTGCTCTTTTAGATTTCTTCTCTCTCAAACAATTGTTCTCTATAGTGAATAATTAGTCATTTTGGTTCATCAAATTTTTTTTTCTACTTATTCCTTTCACAAACAAATTCAAACTCACAATCGGCACAACATGCTTAATTAATGGTCTCCCTCTCAGTTACAAACAAAAGCATGTTATGTCCAATACCATACCCTCCTTAATTCAAATTATTAAACAAAAATTTAAAATGTCCAGGAACTCGCCAAATTATTTTATAAGAACATATTTTTGATAGCTATTATATTTTATAATCTATGCAAGGTTTCGATCTTACTTCTGAATATAAGATCGCTATATAATATTTAAGGAAATGTACTTACTTGAAATTCAATTGCATCAATTCCCTCGATGATTGTTTCCATTGTAGGTCGTTCCCGCAAGGTTAAGCTTATACACCGCCATGCAAGTTCTTTGAAGGCATGAAAAGAACGGTTATCAATTTGATCTTTTATATCACGATCTATTAATATCTCGAGTCCCTTCTTATAGTTGCGTCGGACCAGACTTATCATGGGTTTTGGGCCATAAGCCAGCATTCCAGTCAACATTTCCAACAACACGACACCAAATGAATACACGTCAGATTCTCTACTGAGGGCATTGGTTTCTCGGTAAAGGGGATCAATATAGTAGTTGGTACCCGCAACTTTTGTATAGTATTGGGTATCATATTGGTTTTCGGTGCCTTCTTTTGACAAACCAAAATCACAGAGTTTGGCTTCAAAATTTTCATCTAATAATATATTGGCGCTCTTAATGTCTCGGTGTATTACCCACTTGTCCTTACCTAGACGCGAGTGAAGGTAGTCAAGTCCTTTTGCTGCCCCTAAGCAAATCTGGAGGCGTTGTGACCATGTTAGGAGACTCTTTTTATTCGGGTTGTTGAGATGATGATCAAGGCTTCGTATTTGGAAATAATAATCATTTGATCGTCTTCATCACAGTAACCGACGAAAGGGATGATGTTTTGATGGTGAAAGGAGGAAAGAAACTTTACCTCATTACTGAACTCCGTCTCTCCTTGGTGGCCTTTTGGATCAAGGCATTTGATGGCAACTATGCAATTAGCCCAATATTCCGAGAGTTGTGCTTTGTATACTTTACCATATCCACCATCTCCAATAGGAGTTTCTTGACTAAAGTCTTTGATGGCCAAGTTGATCTCCTTTAGTGAAATTCGAAAACTTTCGAGGTTTTGATGTTGGATGCTTTGTGTGGCTATGGTAGAAGCTGCTTCGTAGTGGTTCTGTGAATTTAAATAAATTGAAGTTAAGTCTCACTAATATTTCAATGTATGCCATGTATATAGGCAAAATTTATGAAAAATCATTGTTAATAAATTCTTTGAAATCAACGGAGAAAATGGATTTCCTTTTAAAATTTTCCATAGTCTTATTTCTTGTTCATAAAGCTGGATTTCCTTAAATAACTATTAAAAATTCTTACTTGTATATCTTGTGCTTCCTCAATCCTCTTTACAATCCTTTTAATTGTAGGGCGATCCTCTAAATTCAAACTAATGCATCGATACACAATCCTTATAAACAAACGAAAAGACTGGCTATGAACTTGATCATGTATAAGAGGATCAATCAAGACGTCCAGTCTTTGATCATCATAGTGGTGCCGAACCAAATTTACGAGAGTCTTTGGTCTATCATCACCAATGCTCTTTCGATGATGAGCCTTCATCCCACTTAACATTTCTAAAAGTAACACCCCAAATGAGTACACGTCTGATTTTGTGTTGGTGAGGCGACTTTCATTGTAAATAGGATCTGTGTAGTATGAGATACGTTCAAGACGGTTATAGACTTCTGGTTGATTTCGGTCTACTAATAGTGACAAAGCAAAATCACTAACTTTTGCTTGGTGATCTTCATCTAACAGTATATTTGAGCCCTTTATGTTTCTATGAATTACTACACTTTTCTCCTCAAAACATGAATGAAGATACTCGAGTCCTCTTGCTGCCCCTATGCAGACTTTTAGACGTTGTGCCCATGTTAGGCAATGCCTCTTGTTGGGTGTAGGTTCATGGAGATGCTGATCAACGCTTCCATTGATTGCATAATCATAAACTATAATCTTCTCTTCGCCTTCATCACAGTAACCAATGAAACCAATGATGTTTTCATGGTGGAAACTGGAAACCATCCTAAGCTCATTGTGGAACTCGTCCTCTCCGTGGTAGCTCTCCTTATCAAGACGTTTGATGGCAACTAAACGGTTTTGCGAGAGTTCTCCTTTGTAGACCTTACTTGATCCACCACCTCCAATATATCTTTCCTGACTGAAGTTTTTGGTGGCCAAGAGAATGTCTTTCAGTGGAATTACAGAGCTTTCAAGGCTTTGATGCTGGTGGCTTGGTGCTGTATTAATGGTTGAAGATGCTTCGGGATTCTGAAATATAAATGGAACTGAGTTCACTTAGATATATTAAGACAACAATATGAAGGCTCCAACCACGCAAGAAAATGAAACAGCGGGACCATCCGTGTAACAAATTAAAGTTAGAGACGAGACTAGCGAATCTGAGAAACCACGGGGATCGTTCATGTAATTTTGTTAACAGTTGTCAGTTGACATAAAGTGATAAAACTTCGTGGTCATGACAAAATTGTAAACCGTTTGTGGACTGAATAAACTATTTCTCTGTAGAGCTAGAAAATGTGTATTGGTGTGGGAATCTATATGGTTTAAGTGTTGAAAATTGTTTCAAATTTCTTGGAAAAGTTTTCAAAACAATAGGTGGAGTTTTCATTTTTAATAGAAAATTTAGAAAATATGTTTTGTTAAAACAGATGACTTTTAATTTTATATTTTAGAGAACTAGAAAACCTATGTTGTGTGGGAATCTATATATTTTAAAAAACTTTTGAAATTTAGGAAAAAAACTCCAAAACAATGTTTTTCAGTTTTTTTCAAATTACTTTTAATTTAGAAGATTAAAAATTTATTTTTTCTTGCAATATTATTTTTTGAAAAAATAATAAACTAAACACTTTTTGGGACCCAAGTTATCCTAATTTCGTCTTGATCAGAATCGTACATTTTACAATGAAACAAATCGCCCCCAATAAAAAAAGGAAAGTAGAGAAATTAAGGATGCGTTTGGTTGTGGAAAATTTTCTATTTTTTCAGGAGAATTTTCTAAGAAAAACGGAAATTTTAAAAACTAGAAAAGTGATTTTATACAGTTTTCTGAAGTTTTTAAAATTTCTAAGATTGAAAATGAAAACTCCACTGTTTCCGACCAAACACGTTTTTTAAGCTTTTCATTGAAAATTGAAAATAAAAACCCAACTCTATTTTTTGAAAACATTTTCTTGAAAAATGAAAAACAATTTTTCACAACCAAAGACATCCTAAAATTATGGTGTTGTCCTATTTATGATTGTTTTCTTTCTTACATATTAAACTAGATTTCCTTCAAAATATTTGAATGAAAGACTTACTTGAATATCCAGTGCTTCCTGAATCCTCTTGATGATCGTTTTCATTGTAGGGCGATCCTCTAAGTTCCAGCTAATGCATTGATACGCAATTTCCTTAAATATATGGAAGGAACGAATGTTTACTTGATCTCTAATATCAGAATCAATAAAGTTGTCTAGTCCATCTTCATAGTAGCGTCGGACCAAACTTATGAGTGTTTGTTTCTGCTGATTATCTCCAAAGCTCCTTGGTATGTAAGCGAATGTTCCATTCAGCACTTCAAACATTACAACCCCAAATGAGTAGACGTCTAATTCTGTGTTAACATTTCCGCCTTCCTTGTAAAGGGGATCCAAGTAAAATGAAGTACCAGTGGCCCCATTTTGAGAGACTTGTTGCTGATTTTGATCTATTAGTATTGACTGATTAAAACTACGAATTTTTGCTTTGAAATTATCATCTAACAAAATTTTTCCAGATGTAATGTCTCTATGTATTAATGAGCTGCCCTTTCCACGACCCGAGTGAAGATACTCAAGTCCTACTGCCGCGTCTAGGCAAATCTTGAGACGTTGCACCCATGTTAGGGATCTCCTCTTATCTGGGTTGTAGAGATGTTCTTCAAGGCTATTATTGACAGCGTATTCGAAAACTGTTATCATCTCATTGTCTTCATCACAGTAGCCGATGAAAGGGATAATGTTTTCATGGTTGAAGATGGATGTCAACTCAATTTCAGTTTGGAAGTCATGCACAGCGTCCCTAAAATTGCGTCTGACAGCAACTGTGCGGTTTTGCCACCGTTCTGAGAGTTGTCCTCTGTAGAAGTCACCAAATGATCCACGACATCCAATACGATTGGTCTGAATGAAGTTTTTGGTGGCCAAAAGTATCTCCTCCAATGGGATCCGATACTCTTCTAAATTTACTCTTGAAGAAGACATTGTTTTGTAATATTGGTGAGACTATGTATGATTATGGTACCTTTGGTTAGGGATTAAATAGATTCGCGCTTGCGCTTCTACTTATATTGCATTTAGCTTGAAACAACTGTCATATAAAATTGATAATAAGACAAAATATATATTTTGTGGCAGATATATCTCCCACCTAACGTACCCCTTGGATTTGATATTGTCTAATGGTAATGATGAGATCGCTGATATGCTTATGATGTGATCATTGATTCGCTGATCAGTTTTGACAATTAATAAATTAATATAGAAGGTTTATGAGTTATGACTTTATATTATTGCATGTCTTCATGATCAATATTGAAATTAACTTTATAGTTGCATATGTATCTTGTATAGTGTGTTGCCGATTTAGCGTCTGTGTATGTGTATGTGTATGCATATGTAATATGTTGGTTGTTAAATGTTAATCATGATTGTCATTTGTCTATAGCTGAAATTCATGAATACATACACATCAATTAGATATAGTGTATGACTGTTATTATTATATGTATGTATTAAACTACTTAATTGTTGTTGGCTTGTAACTTGTTGCTGCATATTATTGTTATGTCTATCTACTTGGGCGCCCAGTGTGTTCAACACGTAGCCAAAGGCCAACCCAATAATTTTTCTGGAAGAGGGAGCAAAAAAAATTAATTTTTTTATGGGGAAAAATATTTTAATTTGAAGAGTCAAAATATGTCATTTTGAAGTGGTCAATATATATATATATATATATATATATATATATATATATAATATAATATATATATATATATTGGTGTGGTGGCAGTTGTTCCCTTAGCCACCAGTGTAGGCCCGTCCATGCCCGTGGCGCTCGTGACTCTGAAGGGCGCCTCATGCTTTTTAAAACCAAAATTTATATACCAAACTACAAGTTATGTTTAGAATAAAATACATATTACAGTAGAAACCAACAATTTTATATTATTTCATATAAATATATATATATAATATATATATATATAGATATATATATATATATATAGATATAGATATATATATATATTTAAATTAATGTCTTAAGTATGATTCACATTTTATTTTAAACTTACATAACGAGTAAAACTTGTATTGTTCCACTAATTAATATCTTATAAGAATGTTTTTTTTCCCATAACTGACATCTTCTCATGTTTTTTATGCAATGGATGAAAATTGTCATCCAACAAAAGCAAAACGAATCAATGAATGAAAAATACACATTGCGCTTTCTTTGGAACATGTTTCCAAAATAAAATTAGGGTTTTTGGTACTGTAGCACAACAATATTTGACGAATTTATATATTTAGTCACTCAAGTATTTTTTGTGTTCAATTGGTCCTTAACGTTAGAAAATACCAACTAATTAAGGGTTTGAGGGGAATTATATCAGGTTTACGGGTGACATGCTGACGTGGATTGACATATATGAGTTTGTTTTTGGCACTGTAGCACAACAAAGTTTTGTGAATTTACACATTTAGTCATTCAAGTAACCGACTGTTCCTGTATCGGATCATATAATTGTTTAATTGATGGGTAAATTTAACTTTAATTGTCTATTAGATACAAAAAATACTTGAGTGACTAAATGTGTAAATTCGTTAAACTTTATTGTACTACAGTGTTAAAAACCTATACAATTATTCATTGTCACAATTTTACTCACATAGAGACAAAGACACGGACATGACAACAGGGACACAACACACATTTAACAACCCTAAGAAAATTAAGGAAAAAATATTTAAATATAGTTAAATTGTTGTTTGGGTACTTTTTGTCAACGATGTAATTAGAAGTTTGCGAGTAGGAAATTCATTTGCCAAAACATCAGGCGAGTATATTGGTTTTCACATGGGGAAGATAAATACGAATAAAAGGTAGGATTATTTAGTTTCTCTTAAAGTTAATCAAAAAGCAAAAATTAGTTGTCACTTTTAGACGATAAAACTATTTCTCAATAGAACCAAAATCATCAAAACATATACGATTATTATGTTTATGATGATGTTATATCCAATTTGAGATGTGCGACAACTGTTTCATAAATTACATGTCTTCCAAGTTAATCAAAATAACAAAATTACATAATTACTTACTTCATCCAACAAATTGTAATTTGTGTTTTCCCCATTACCACCATAAATGCTGTGTTGAAGATTTTTTTTTTTTTTTTTTTGCTAATAAAAGTAGTAGATGAGGCAATGAATAAGTTATGTCTCGATTGTGTGAGCTTTGCTCTTCCTTTGACCTTCAAAATAAACAAAACCAAGCATTTTTGAAGCGGGGGTTTCTTCGATGACCCTTTATGCAATCGTGAAGATTATTATACTACAATCAAAGATCTATAAAAGATCAACAAAATAACACCCATTCTCGGTGTGTGTATGAGAGAGAATGCCACTCTAACATATATGGATCTGTTAGGATCTAGCCATACATATACATGTGGCACATCCGTTGTTGATGCATGTGAATTTTTGTCTCTTTTAATACTTCACAATTCTAAGGATACTCTTAGCTCAACACACTAGTACAAAAGACATTTAATGATCATGTGGTTAAAACTATTAGTTGATGCGGTTTTCAAACTGCACCAATAAATATAGCATCAAAAAATAATATATTTGTTGATGCGGTTCCAAAAACCGCATTATAAAATGCTCTAAACCGCATTAGAAAATGTCCGGGAAAAAAATACAAATAGCACCAAAAAATAACATATTTGTTGATGCGTTTCCAAAACCGCATTATATAATGTTGTAAACCGCATTAGAAAATGTCTGGGAAAAAAATACAAATAGCACAAAAAAAACAAGAACCACCCTATTAAAAAATCGCACCAAAAAATGGGAACCGCGTTAACAAATCTGCTAAAAGACCGTATTTTGGTGCTTTCTAGATGCGGTTGTCTTATTTTTTTGATGCTACAGATATCGCACCAAAAATTTGGAACCAACTCTATTAAAATAGAGCACCAAAAAATAAAAAGCGCATTATTAAAACAAATGGCACCAAAAAATGAGAAACGCATTTTAAAACATTGGCACAAAATACCAATAATTTCTAACTGCGTGTTTAGTTACAATAAAACCCGACCGTCTATTAAAATATCACTTAATACTACAAAACATCCTAATTCTTACACAAATTTTTTCCGACAATCATTCACCATGTCAATTAAACGCGGTATTATTTCTAAGACCATATTTTCAGGTTCATTAGGCAAAGCATACTTTTTCTTCTTCCAAAACTGCAACAAACAAACAAATTTTATATATATATATATATATATATATATATATATATATATATATATATATATATATATATATATATATTAATATATTTTTAATATCTGCAAAACACTTACTCTATTTTGTAAATCATGTTGAAAGGTTTCAACAAACTCCCATATGAATTTAATTACTATGTATCCACATTCCCAGTTACCTTTTTGTTGGTTGCACTACATTTAATTCACAATTAACTATTGTCAAACTAATTAAAATAAATTTATAAAAAAATAATAGATTACAATCCAAATGTTAAATTGTCCTAGGAAAAGTTTATCAACTAAAGAAGGAAAGAGGTTTTCGTCCTTTTGGTCATTTTCGTCTGTTTTGTCTTTTTCGTTCTTTTTGTCCTTTTTGCATTTTTTCTTTATACCACTCAAAGAATCAAGAATATAACCGGAATTGCTATTTGGACATAGGATAAAAAGCACCTAATGCCGACTATAAAAATAAAAATTACAGAACTAATAACCATGTATGTGTAGTGTGTATATGTATGTATATGTATTATTGAACAAGGAGTTTACTCTTGTAAATATGGAGTAACAAAATACTTCTTCATGATACGAAAATACTTTTTTGATGTGTTCAATGGTGACCGTCATATTTGTTCGACGATTTAAATTGCTAATGTAGAACGAATCAAAGAAAGCACATTCAAAATTGGGCGACCTAAAAGAAGCTTTTTATATATATAGTATATATATATATATATATATATATATATAATATATATATATATATATATAGATATATATATATATATATATATATGGGGCGGAGAGGGTAGGGGCTAATGGTGTTTCCTCCCCCCCCCCCCCCCCCCCCCCTAAACTCTTTAGGTATAAATGTATTACAGTCCACTGTATGCTCCATTTCTTTCACTTGGAATTTACTTAAAATACAAGTATTGGATGGTACAAGTAAAAATACACTATTTACAATTACCCTTCTTTAATTATAATGCTTTAGAACTAAATTATATATATAATATATATATATATATATATATATATATAATATAT